TGAAACCTGAGCTTCTCCAAGCTTGTTTTTGTTTCTTTCTTTTTTTTTTCTACATTAGATACAAGAGAGTATCTAGAGCTGCACACAAATTATTATTTCTGCCTGGGAGTCTAAATAATGCTTTGTTATTAAAGATTAACTCAAAGGGAAATCAAGTGTCACGAGTTTGTTCAAAGAGCTTTTGTAGAGGTTGATGACTGTGAGCAGAAAGGACCTCCAGTAGCAGTCTGTGTCACAGTGAATCTGAAGGAACCTCTGAGATAAGTACATGACATTATAGGTGGTTAATTTTCATTTCTAGTTGTGTTTGTGGGTTGATGTTAAAGCTCAATAATAAGTGCAGGGATAAAAAGCACAAAATAAAAAAAACAACCTCTCTATTAGGTTGAAGGTGAGGGCAGAATTATAAGTGGACAAAGACCTGAAGTGCAGTCAAATATAAACCATTATTTTAGTCAGCATAAATAATTTATAGCTTTCTAACATTTCCACGATCCTAGAATGCAGAGGGGACTGCAGAACTGGAATGGCTGAAACATTTGGCAAACGCGGAGATGAGGCAGGATGAGTGAAAATCTGTTTTTTATTTAAAAGCTGTTTTGATTCATGTAATGAGCTTAGCCAATGAAAATATGATTGATGGCTTTAGAAGTGCAGTATTACAGACTTGCTATGCACAAATTGAAAACATCAATTTCTGGCACGTCTTCTAATCTGTGTTCATAAACTCATTTGTAAAGTTTGATGGATCTGGGGGGTTTTTTTAATCAAGCTTTTCCACTTTTACACACTTTTAGGGAACCATGCCTACAGATTTGCATAAGCATGGCTTTCTTTTTTTTTATATTGCATGTCATTTACTTTCTGCATACTTTCTTGCACTTATAGACAGCTGTTGTGTGGAGAGTTTAGATTTGTTGTTTGAAAATATGGCAGTAAACAAGAGCAAGATGATGTTTCATGGTAAAAATACCATGACTTTATTCACAGAATGTTCACCTGCTCTCAATAAAAGAACCAAGAAAACCAAGAAAAAGCCACTCAGTTTGAAGAAATGTACTGCCCTGCAACACATGCTGTTCATTATTTAAAATAAGAAGGATTAAAGAATTCAAATATTCTCACAAATGTTATAAATGTATTGAATTTTCCACATTCAGGCTGGTATACAGTGAATAATGTTTGAAAAGTGCACAAAAAGATAAACCAAACTGTGAAAGAAAAGGAACATTTTTACAAATAAAATTATGTAAAGTAAATGTTTTCAGCCCGCTCTATTCTAAAACTCCTAGATAAAATCTAGCCGCATCAACGGTCTTCAGTTCTCACCGAATTAGGGAATAAAGTGCAAATATGTGTAATTTAATTTCAGGATTTATGCAGCTGCTCTGATTCACAGAGGGTGAATCTGTTGACACGACAACTATTGGTCATGCTATTGAACTCCAATCTGGTGTTTATGGAGGAGTTGGAAGAAGAAAGCTATTGTTAAAAAAAAAAAAAAAAAGCCTCAACAAGTCATATTTGCTGTTTGTCAGAAGCCTGCAGAAGACACAGCAAAAAGGTTGAATAGTTGATAAAATATAAATACTTTTTCAATGCGCTATACGTTTCCTTGCAGCTCTGAGGAAGACCCAGAGAGAAATTAAAAAGTAATGCAAAAAGAAAAATACTGAAAATATTCAAAAATTGTTCAAGCTAAAAAAAGTTTTGGGTTTTTTTTTAAAACAAAAGGTTTGGAAGAGCACCTGCCAACAATCTGACAATGAGAAACATGGAAACCTGAAAGCATTAGGGAAAAACTCCAAAACAAAAACAAGATACACATGTATCAAAATTACTAAAATCACTAAATCTAAATCACAGCCAGAGCAGACATCGAAAGCTGAATTTTGACTTAATAATGAGCATATTCTATATATTCTTTTCCCATTTTTCCCTCCTCAGCTGACGGCTGCCATCGTGTTCCTCAGCTTCGGCGTCATCGCCTCCTTTCTGTGCCTGATGATTGATGGAGTCGGCGTCCTCTTAAACATGGTGTGGGTTACACTCCTTCTTCTGTGAACACATTAACTTCAGATGGTTGTGTTTAATGCAGCCGAAACAGACAAACCACGGCCCTGTTTTAGCTACGGTCACAGCACGACCCTGTTGTGAAAGCTGAAGATGACGAGAAAAGTTTGGTTTGTGTTTTATCAAAAACTTCAGACATCAGATGTTTTACTTTTCATCTAATCTGATAAATACTGTATGGTGACATCGTCACTGGTTGTCAGCTCATCCAGTGACGAGGAGAAAGGAAGGGGAAATGCTTTAAACAAGCAGTAGTTTGGAGACCTAACAATCTGGCATCCTACCTAGAGATTTAGGAGCACTCTATTGCAGTGCCCAGTGTGCACTCTTTTATTTATTCATTTATTTATTCAATTTTTTTGCGTAGAAATAATATTAAATAGTGTTTTGAGTGTTTATTAGTCAATGACTTGTTGACATGTTTCTGTCAGGACGTGCGTCCCCTGAAAGCAGGGAGGTGTCAGTATTACAGCAGCGGCAGCAGCTACGTCTATGAGAACTTCTACACTACGGTGAGCGATGATGACGAAGAGAAATATTATTCTCATCTGGCTAAGTCGCGAGAATCTTAAACCGAATTAAGGTTATTTTCAGGTGCCGTGTTGGAATCTGAGGGAGTCCTGCACCATGACCGTACGAAGCGGGACCTGTTACTGCTGCGACCTTTACAACTGCGCCAAGTGAGAGAATCGTAGTTCTCCTGAGTCTTTTCAGCTTCCACGTCACGTCAGACACTTCTTTTGTTTTATGGATGTTGCCCAGCCAGCATGCCTAGGTGGGCCCCATGTGGGGACAAGGAGGGCAGACTATATGGGTCCCATATGGGTTTGTCCGCGGGTTCCACGATGGCCCCACATGGGTTTGCCCATGTAGGGCCAGAGCCCACATGGGCCCTGCATGGGCCCTATATGGTGGTGGCCCACATGGGTTTTGTCCAATTAGGGCCCATGTAGCACCCATGTGGGCTGTGGCCCTACATGGGCAAACCCATGTGGGGCCATCGTGGAACCCGCGGACAAACCCATATGGGACCCATATAGTCTGCCCTCCTTGTCCCCACATGGGTCCCACCTAGGCATGCTGGCTGGGTTGTTCACTGATGCAGAACAGAGATTTGGGGGTTTTATAACGTGACTGATGAAGCAAAACCCCTTCTTTGTTTTCCAGTGGAGACTACATGAACAGTTACTTTGAGTTTGTTGGAGTGCAAAGCTGTGAGGAAGTTTTCACCCTGTACATTTTAATCTGGACCCTCACCGGCGTGAACCTGGTGGCCTTTTTCACTGGGATACTGACCGCTGCCGTGCTGGGAAACATCAAGTACTTGGTAAGATAATCCACAGCACCGTCATGCATCCTCATGTTTGTGATTGTGATTGAAGGGTCCGATCCGGGCCTGAGGAGTTAAGGAAGCGAAGTGGGATATAATACATCCAGTGTGATTTTTAAACGCCACACTAAATATATATGAAGAAATATTCATTGCTGATGATGAATAAAACTTAATTTCTTAAAAATGTACATATTTTGGTGCTAGATTTTCCTCATTAACTCAACGTTTCCACTGGTGTTTTTACTGTTTATCTAAGATGATGAGCTCCACCTCTTTGAGGCTGCATGGCCCTTTACCTTTACCCTAATCTTTAGTTCGCCACACAGACTCTGAGCAGATAGGTGGACGATTCCCATATCTGGATATTATATGCAGTAATTGCTGCAAGTCGACGGCTTGAGGTGATGAGCTGGTTTTACTTAAATACAAACTATTTTACAAGCTTGGATTATTTACTAAATGTCACAGGATCTTATTTTTGTCCTTGGTCAAATTGAAATGTATTTGCTCTGTAAATTAATAATGAACAAAATTAAAATTCTCCTTTGTCCAGTCACAGTTTCAAATGTTACAAAATCAGTTTTGAAGACAATATAAAGGTTTTTTTAAACTAAATTTCCCAGAGTGTCTGAGCTCGGTTCCCGCTGAGGGATCCAGCCTGTCTTGAATCTGCACGAAAAACTCCCTGAATATTTTAGCCTGTCTAGTTAAAGCAACAAAGAAACCCTAAAAGCCGTGGAATGAATATCTGCAGCAGGACCACACAGCCTGTGTCGTCCTTCACTGCTTGTTGTTCCTCCACTAAATGATTCTCGCTGCAGTTCATTTGGTCATCGGCAGCAATTAATGAGGTGACTTCTCTGAGTTTTCACCTCCTCACTCGTCTTTGTGCCGCTCCGTGTTTTCGCTGTCGGATTGTAAACACGTGGTCCTTTTGTTTCCCATGGAGGCCTGTGTGATCCTCACGTCTCATGGTTCATCCTTTTCATTCATTTCAATGTGTGGGAGAAGGCAGAAGGCGACTCTTCTCTCCCACACGTCGAGTCTCTATAAATATGTGATATATGTTCAGCAAATATTTATCATGTGCTGATGTTCATCCTGTAGTTGCTTCATCCTACAGGATGATGCATTTTTTTTTTTGTGAAAGTGCAGTGATGTCCATGTCTGTGTTGTTAATTTTTCAGCTGAAGTTGTTATCTTAAATCAGGGATACTCACAGCTTCCAGCAAAGACCACCCAAACTCAGGATCTGTTGTGTTTTTGTTCCTGCACTTTTTTCTTTCGGGTCCAGATTCATTAGATGCAGATGAACAGAGCATTTCTGCCGGAGCATTTGTGATCTTGCATTATGCATGTCTGTATTTGCGTTTATTCTTTGACATTTTTGGGAAGACTTTGTTTTTCCACAAATCACGTCTTTGTGTCTTTTAAATTCAAAATCGTTCAGTTTCTTCAACGTTTATATTCTAATCATGTTGACTAAGTGGCTTTAAATAAGCTCTGTCATGGTTATTAAAAATAGCAGGTATCTGAGTAATCTATTCAGAATGCACTTAGTTTAGTTTAGTTATTTTAAACATATTCACATTCACAGTTCAAATACCGTGATATATATTTTTGATAGATATTTGTCTGTAAAGGAGGTAGGTAGAAGTATTAACTTATTTAAACCCTTTCTTTTATATGTCTTACTTTACACATTATTCTTTACTTAAAGAAAAGGAAAAAATAAAGAAAGCCATAAAAAACAGGACAATATCTATGACAACAGACAGATAAAATACCAATTTCTTTCAACCAAACATTTATCCCTAAAAACAAATACTTTATGAAGATGAAGTATTTTATTCTCCAGAGAACAGAATTGATTTCACTCCATCTGTACCACATACCTGTAAAAAGAAAGACAGAAACAAAGAAAAAATAAAGAAAGAAAGGAAGAAAGCAAAATAAATATTAATCTGTATTTTTCATGCTTTTTTTTTCATTTAAATAATTATATTTTTGCTTGCGTGATTTTCTTTCCTTTTGAAGAGGAGCACCAACCCGGCTGCTGTTTACAGCACAGCATCTTCCCCTACAGCTCCCCTGCTGACGGACGACGACACTCACACTCAGCCGCTTCTTCCTGTCGGTATTCAGTCAGCACCAGATACACACAGTTCTTCTCACTTGTCAGATTAGTCTCAATCTTTTCCTGATTTATGTTTGTCTCCTCATAGGAACATTCAGGGTAAAAACTTTGAACCTCCACCAAACATCCTGAAAAACGTGATTAGTAAAGTAGACTAAAAATATAATAATGATAATACCTTCTTTGTTAACTTACAGCAGAATAAGGATCCAAAACAAATGTTTAAATCGATAAAGTGATGGTTGTCCAGACAAAGAGAGAACCAGGACTCTGGGGGGACAGAGGTGTGTCCACTTTGGACACAACTCATTTTCATTTTGGGCCAAATCTAGATCGTGAATGCTCTTAAAGGGCCGGTTGTGCCAAAATGTGTTGATAAAACCTGTTCACGAACTGCTAAAATATCAATGAATTATTCAAATTAAATAATATTATTGAACATCTTTTCAGTCCCTCCTGGATTTTGTGATTCTTTTTGCTATAAAAATCATCGTGGAAATATTTGCGATATTTGTGCTTATTTATGTCGGTAAATGTGACTTTTTATCACTCACGGTGTAGCTCATGGGCTACAATCTGATGTCACTTAAAGCTGAGGCAGCCGTTTAGTACAAGGAAGAAAGTTTTGACAATTTTTGAGAAAAATTTGCAATAAACTCCCAACTGATTAATATAATTTGGCAGTAAACAGATCAAGACTGCATTGATTTGATTGAAAACATAATATTTGAGCACACTTAGTGTCTAGTTTCAAATCTAGAGGGCCACATAAAAAGCTGTGGTATGCTGGATTTGGCCCTCGGGCCTTGAGTTTTACACCTGTGATCTAGGGAAAATAATAACAGATTCCTTTCTCTGTGTGATCCAACCTTGTAAAATATTATAGAGGAACACTGAGTGTTGTCCTGTTGGCAAAAAATAGACAATAAAAAGCATAAACAAGAGTGGCAATAACTGTGCTGCTGGCAATTTTCCCTAAAGATTTAAATATTTCTAAGATTTTCACTGTAAAAGCATAATTTATCACGAGGGATATAATTATTTAATACTACCAGCGCAGCAGATATGATGATAAACTAAAACACTAGAAAAAGCAAGGAGATTTTTTTAGTTTTTTTTTTTTTTTATAAACTGCAGTGTTAATGTTTTGCTACTGGACTCTCTCCAAAGCAACGCTCAGAGTCGGTGGATCACTTCAGCTTGCATGAGAGAGTTTTTTATACTGATAGTAAAGTATCTGGTCACAGTATGTGTTTCAAGACATTTAGCGTGCTCCACGCTATTACTTAACGCTTCAGGTATTTTAATGGTATACAGGCAGATGAGACACTTTAAGAAGGAGAAACAGCTGGTTCTGTTGTTAACGTGGCCTGAGATGCAACTCACAGAGCTTCCTCTAGAAATCAAATGGAAAAGCCTCGTCTCTGTTTCCAGTTTCACACTCCAGAAAGAAGCACGTTTTCCACAGTAAATCAACGACAAGATCTGCGGTCCAAAATGCAAATCTTGTTTTTATTGTAGTGTCATTTGAAACAGAGCTCAGTGAAGTACTCAGTTGCTTAACAGCGTGAGTTGCAGCTCGACAGAGACTGGATCATGTGTCTGAGATGCATGTTATTTCATCTCTTTCTTCACGCTGTCAGTTCTCCCTCGTCTATAGATTAAAAACCAAAACATCGTGAAAGAGGCCACAGCACTGAGAGATTTCAGGTGTAGTTTAAAGTCACTGGAGAAAAATGTTGCTTATCTTTTAGTAGTACTAAGCAAATACCTGTGTAGCTTAAGCTGGAAGCTACACGTGATGGACTGTCATTAAAAAAATAACAAATTCAACAACTGACTTAAGCTCAGGCATAGGGGACAGATAGACAATAAAATAGCAAAAGAAAAGAAAAAACTGAGCTGAAAGGCAAGAAAAAGGTTCAAGAAAATTAAAAAGTAATGCAAAAATATTTGCAAAAAGCTATAAATGACCAACAAATATGCACTGCAATATCTAGAGACATAAAATAACTACAGGGAGACACACATGACTGCAGAGGAGGAATCCATGAAAATGTAATTTAAAACCAACAAACCCTTCAAAGTAATAAAGGAAAACCCTAAATTGCTACAAAATGCACAATTTGGTCCCACATTAAAAGATCTCTGTTGTCCTGTTTGAGTTTTAAAAAACCCAAAAAACTATTTAATTGTGATTTTGGAAGTTTGACAATATATTTTGTGCTGTAGCCAGAAGTTTAGATTCACTCATCAACAGTCTGATTGTTGAATTACTTTGGGGTTTCTAAGGATGCTTTCAAAAACATTATTTTTTACATCATGGAAAGGCTGTACAGCAAACTAATCTGATGATTTCAAAAAACTAAAGAAAAATTAGATGCAAAAGTTTACATGCCTCTACGAATATTTGTTAAAATGGACAAACCCGGTTATTTCTGACTAAGAGAAATATTGTAAACAGATCCTTTAACTAAAATGATAAAATGACATACATGACCTCTTTATTTATGTCACTGGTGTTGCAGTGTTACACAGAGATGGGGATTTAGGTGGAAACGTGTGAAGCCAATGTAAAGTAGACTTTTGTTTAAGTTGTTTTCAGGCCAAAATTGCAAATTAATAAAAGAAATAAAATAGAAAAAAAGTCAAACTGAAACCTATAAATCATCCATTTCTATTTATACGATGACAAGATTGCATTAGTTTGATCCTTGCCTTTTACAAGCTCACAATAATGACTCGTGGACTCATAGAGATTTTTCAGGAAATTAAAAACAAGAACATGTTTTTAATTTCCTCTTTGTCCTGTCCATCCAGAGGATGTCAGAGTTTTTCCCTCCCGGAGAGCAGACCGCTGCTACTCAGAGTTTTGCTCCAGCAGAGTCCAACCCGCCTCCCTTCAACCCGCTGACCACCCTGCTGTCTCAGAGAGTCCACGGCCTCTCTGCATGAACCGCAGCATCACGCCGAACACAACGTCAAGAGGACGGAGAAAATCTGCACATTTTATTCAAGAACTGAGCTTTATGAAACCCAGTACAGAGCTGTAACAATGTACAGGTTCAAAAATATTCACTTTTGGAGGTGATAACGGATGATAATGTGTGTGATTCTTTAACATCTTGACTGTTTGGTCAAGATGTTACTTTTATGCCAGATGCAACGTAAAGGAAAAGCTGCAGAAGTACAGAAATTACTTTTAATATAGTGAGATTTTTCTTGGCATTTTAACATTCTGTTGTTGACACACTCTGCCTTGAAGAAGTACTTATGTCACCACTTGGCCTTTATCACTTTTTGTTATGCTATATAACCTCAAACAGCAGAAAAATAGGGCTTCTGAAAAGTGTGGTGTACATTTGTATTCGGACTTCCTGAGTTAATACTGTGTAAAGCAACTTTTTGCCACAATTAAGGTTGTAAAGGGTTTGGGTGTGTATCTGCCAGCTTTACACAATAATTTTCAAAACTGTTGAGTTAAAGAAAAAATTTAGTCAATAAAGTAAATTCAATAAGCACTTTTTATTGCCACTCTACTATATAAACTACAGCTCCTCCAGAGCAACCATGGATCTGTCGGCTACTTCTCTGATTTACTCTCTTCTTGCGTGCAAGCTTTAGACCAGTGGTACCCAAAGTTGGTCCTAGTGGGCCGGCCTCCTGCACGTTTTAGTTCTCTTCCTAGTGGTAGTAACAATCTTTTCAGCATGTCAATGTTTCTAACGAGTCATTATGTGATGCAGATGTGATCAACCAGGGAGAGAACTAAAACATGCAGGATGCTGGCCCTCGAGGACCGACTTTGGACACCCCTGCCTTAGACAGATATCCATACGTTCTTAAGTTTGCAGTTTTGTCATATTGTTTCAATATTCAGATATTGTCTTGGGTTGTGCTCAGCAATGTTCAAAGCTTGGGAAATCGCTCTGTAACCTAACCCTGCTTTAAACGTTTCTGATGTTTTCCTTGGAGACAAAATGTGGAAAGTATCAGAGTCTGTGAGTTCGAGCCTTAGTCCAAATGCAGCATCAACCGAAGTCAAGGAATAATCAGTGTCTCCTCCAGTTTCTAGAAGACATTGAAAGGCGATCATGTTTTAACCGCTACGTTTTATGAATGAATATAACATAAGTCTGTCTCCAGGTGTTTGACACATGTATGAGCTGTAACTATGGTCTCTGTAAAGCAGAAAAGTTAAAAATTTGTGTGAAACCAAACAGAAGTTTCCCTACAATGTTTGGTTTGTGTATCATTTCTTATCTTCTTGCATCAAAACATTAAAGGTTCATTAAAGGGATAAAAACAAACCAAGTAAGAAAAACTACATAAATGTTGGGCTAAGTCCCATTTGATCCCATAGACAAGCATTTTGAGTGGGTTCTTCCTTTCGGTGTGAAATCAGGTGCCTCCTCCGTGGTTCGGCCCAATTTCAAGTCACTTTGCAACAGTGACATGATTTCTAATTGAACAGAAATAATTCATACCAATATAATCAAATCATACAGACAGATTAGATTCAATGAGCTGCAGAGCTTTCTTGCCCTAAATATAACACAAAATAACCTAATTCAGCTTTTACTGCCACTTGGTCAAAATGTTATCTACTTAAAATAACCCAGGAACTTCCACTGAAACAGTGACTTTGCAGCAATTTCTCATTTTAAGCAAGCATGCGGTGATGGAGCAAAGAAACAACTTCCTTCAGAAAGGAAGGAAGACGTCTGGGGCATCATAGTTTATAGGTTAAGATGGCCCAGTCAAAGTTCATGTCAAAATCCATTTGCAAAGGCAAAGCTGACGTTCTGAGGTGCTTTCTGTGGATTCTGAATGCACATTAGGTGTTTTGTGAAAAGTAAAAAAAAAAAAACTGCAATTGCAACTACAGAGCATGATAGAGCTACAGATATTGACTTTGTAATGCTGAATACAAAATAAACTCAACCGTTTTATTTGAAAACCAAGAAAGAAAATTAAAAATCATATATTCTTTCTCTCCTATCTCACAATCATTCATTACTTTGTGTCAATCTATCACGTGAAATCACAGTAAAATACTCGGAGCCTTTGTTATATTACAAATAATTTACTTTTATCATGGATATTCACCTTATGGGATGAATGGATGCTCTGATAACTGAATGGATACATTTGGTGCCACTAAAGTATCAATAAATCAGATGTCAGCAACATGCATACTACAGAAATATTAAAAATGAGGTAAACTACAGTAGATGGACTCTTTGAATCAACACTTGTGAAGGAAAATCTGCACTATTTTGGCTCGGAAAAACCCATCAAACGCCTGTGTTGAGTGAGTTTAAACAGACAAACGATGTAAACTGGATCTCAACTGTTTCTGTTATGAGCTCAGAACAACTTCAGACGACATGCATCTGTAATTAAAACATGAAAAGAAAACAGCAAGATGCTAGGGACTGGAAGCCAGAAGTTAGACTTATAAATCCAGTATGAGAAGACAGATGCATGTAAATAAGTTGGTGAATCTCACAAAATGATCTTGATTACTCTGATCCTGTTGGTCTCCAATCCAGGCTTTTGGCCTCTGCCAGCGTCCTTTGTTAAAACGTTCGCTCTGTGTTTCACAATGGAAAACCATATGAGCCACACACCAGCACATGGCAAAGGCTGATGAGTGTGTGGTGGGTCTGGCAACCCAGTCAAGGGCAGAAAATGTACTCTGAGTCAGCTCAGTGGGATTTACCAAATAAAACGTTTGACTGCTTGTTAAAAATGTGGAGGAATTTGGCAACATGTGATTTGATGTCCGTTTTTGGTATGTTTTGTTGTTTTTGTACTGTTTTTAACTTTGTCTTTTAGTTTTTATACTTGCTGTCACATCAATTGCCCATTTGGGACACAAATAAATCTGAATTTATTTGGCATTTTAAATAAATACATTTTACGCAATCACATCAAGTCCCAATAAAATGTGAATATCTGTGGTTGAAACATGACAGAATGTGAAACAAATTTGAGACGTATGATTGTTTCTGCACATAGATTTTTACTTGTCCATTGATAGACTGGTGCTCTGAACAATATTTGCATATTGATGTTCTCCATGATCCCAAACAGAAGGTATTATACAACACAGGTGGGATTTTATGTCGTAATTACTCATGTTGGTACTGCTGTTCCTCAGTGATCAGGACCCAGCTTCAGTAATATCCAGCCCCCCCCCCACTGTAATGATAAAATTCCCAATCCTTTCCTGCTCAATAAGATTTAAAACCGAGTCGCAGCATAATGATGCAGAAGAGTATCAACCGGTGAGGCTGAGGTCAAAGAGCGTGTGTATTCTCCATGGACGTTTTCATAACCCTCTCTGCACGTCTGCCTGACTTCTCCTGAGGAGCTTTGCGCTGCTGAAACACGAGGACGTCTCTCGCTGTGGTGCAGACCTGATCCTTCAAACACAAACAGACTCTTGGCATGCAACCCCTCCAAACTATGTTCCCTGTCAGAAGGAGGAAAAGAAAAACTCGTGGTGCTGCTTGTAAATCAAAGCCGTGTCCAAATTACAGCTGCTTACAATCCCAAAAGGAAACCACCTCACAGGTAATCAATATCCTGATAAAGGGATGAAGACGTAAGCATTTATTATCCAGCGAACACTGGAGAGTAGAAGAAATATAACGGATAATTTACATGGTTCTCGCTTTAACATTGATCATTGTTACAGCTGGTGATAAGGCAGGAAAAAAAAAACTAAAAGTGAAGAAATAAAATAAGCAATGTAGCAATGTTTCAATCTGTTAACCCCTTTACTTGAAACAGTTTCAAAAATTGAATGTGAGAATATTATTTCTCTGTAATTCCATCAGAAGGGTTGTTCTTCAATCCCTGTCGTCACCTTCTGGGTGAAATCCTGAGATCGTCTTAAAGAGAAGCAGCCGATAGAAATCCAATCTGAACTCAGTTTACACGGCTTCCTACTCTTAATGCCTGAGCCCAACTTAAGACCCAAGACGCTTCATCATATTCTACACCCAACCAGATGACTTTAACTGTTTTGTAAATTTTTGAATTTAAAATTTGGCCATTTTTCTGCCACTGCACACAAGTAGGAACTAGAAATGGATTCAGACAGTTGTTTTGGAGTAGTGCTGATAGTTTGCAGCTGTAAAACTGTAGATTTTTAATATCTAAAATGTGGTGTTGCATGTATTCAGCCCAACTAAAATGCAAAAATGCAACTTATTGCATGAAAAAAAAAAAAAAATCTTTGTACATCCCTCTGACCCATGGCAGTGGAAGCATGCTGTGCTCTTGAGTTAATGAGAGGATAGATGGAGACGAATGTAGACAAAAAAAAACCCATTATGATGCAACAATAAAACCTATGGCACAACAGCATTATTATTTTCTTCGTTTTTGAATTAAATTTACAGAAAGATTATATAATGCGAAGACAAATCACACTCTCCACGAAAAGGACCGTTGGCAAAGTGTTTATTCTGAGCAGACAATATGGACCATAAATGTGAAATACATTGCTCCATTAGTATAAAACCAGACATCAAACTGAGGCCGAACATTCAGAAATGAGTTGGATATGTTTAAATAACCCCTTCCAATTAAAAAAATTCAAATCAAAACTCAGTTAAAAATAAATTAAACACAACCAAACAATCCCTTCAGGTGATCCTGCCTTTTGTAATCTCCCTTTTAGCGAGAGCCGATTGAAGGAAATGTCTGTTGGATTTCAATAAATGTCCAAGAAACTAATTTGTTCTCTCGTTAAAAACAAAGTGCTCAGAAACACGTCTCGTATGCGATTTGACAAAAAGCTTCCTGGGAGGTATTCGTCTAACAGAAGTAGATCTAAGCGTGTTCCCTTTAATAGTTTGGTCAAATTTGAACATAAACCTGGCTCCTGCATGCTGCTCTGCACTCTGGCATTTCTACTTCTGCAACCACAAAGAAAGAAAACAAAGAAGTTCCCGTATTTAGAAACAATAGTCTAAATATATGCTATTTGAAGTGAAAATCTTCAGATAATAGTTTAATATTTGTGTTTAGCTTCATCTAAGGTCAATTGGTTTATAGCTGAAATGAAACGAAAAAAAAAAAAAATGTTAGCATTAAACTCCAGTAAAGTGGAAATGTTGCAGGTGAATGCAAAACAGCAGCAGCCTAAAGAAAAAAAGAAAACAACAAAAAAACAAAGCAGTTTAACAAGAGACATGTACCAGCATAGCAACATATTCAAATCAAAGTTTACAAAAAAATAGATACAAAAACCTTTATCGTGAAACATAAATTGTTAAATAATGAAAACATGCACGTTAGCAATTAAATCAGACAAAAGCAATGGTTTTTTGTTTTTGCATACGTACAAAGTGGTTAACCCTGTATTCTTAACATCAAATGTTCGACATGTTAAAACAAATTCAAGTTTCTTCTTCTTCATTGTTTGTTTGGGTGCAAAACGGGGAGGGAAAAAAAAAAAAAAAAAAGAAAAGTTGGAGGGGAGGACGTACGATGGAGTCACTCCAAGACTCCTAATCCATTAATGCACGTTTTTCTTCACACTTTAGACTTTTTACAACCTTCTCTGGCAGGGAGGCGCTGTGAAAAATTTTCAAGCTCCAGATAAAAAAAAAAAAAAAATCTTCAAAATAATAAAAGCGTAGCAGCTGGAGCTTTGGAGTGCTGCTGGTGTGAAAGGCGAGCGTGAAGGAGGCGCCGTCGCTGCGATTGTCGAGAACGAATTTAGAGATGAAGGGAGTCGTGCGTTATTCTGGCTGCGCCTCCTCTCGGCGGGACCTCTATCGTGTCTAGCATTGGCCATGTTTGGGGGGGGGGAGAGAAGGGGGGGGGGCTCTGAGCATGAACATCACGGGTCCGATGTACACCGTACCATCAACAGTTCACAATCACAAGCAAACAACTCTTTACCACAGTCATGCCGTCCAGATTCAAAGCTGAATGCATGCAAAACTGCTTGCCCTAAAAGTCAATAAAAAGGATATGTTAAACTGGACGAACAAACTGAACATATACATATATTTATAATCTGTCTCAAATTTAACAGTTTGTGTACAAAATACATATACACGTAAGTACAAGAGATTGCCTTTGGTTGACAAAAATATCTTTACATATATATATACATATATATATACATATATATATACATATATATATGTATATATATTTAACAGGCATTCAACGTTATTGTACAGGAGTGAAACAAAGACAAATATGTACTCAGGATCATGTAATGATCATAAAGCTGATACCAAGTATCTAATCATTTCCATTCGGACAGCTCCAAATATTTAAAGTGCGTTTGCATCGTTTCCTCAGTATTAAATGTGAAAAGAATCTCCATCAGTAAGGCAGATTGGTTTGTTTTTTGTTTCGTTTTTTTTTTATAAAACACACACACATTTGTTCAGAAGAAGAAGGACACTAAACGATTTGAGGGGCACAAACAAGAGGACGATCCTCCAGAGTGATGATTGTTATTGAACTGAGGTTCTAAAAACATTTAAAAACAAGGAGGGAGTGATCATCATCATCACAGCTGTTCATATAAAACAGAGTAAATTTTAAAAATACACACACATATATATATATATATATTTATATATAGCAGCCTATTCACACACCATCTAGTGATGCCTCTGTGGATACATGAAGAATCAGTCTGCAGTGCAGCCAAAAAACAAAAACAAAACAAAAAACAACAAAAAACAAAAGGTTCATTCATAGTGGACTAAACGTGTGGAGGTCAGGGTGTATATCATTCTCCTCGTCACTTGCTCGGACATCTTCGTGGGCTTTTTGTGGTCCTCTGTGGCGCACTGACCCCTGCTGGCGGGGCCGTTTCAGCCCACGCCGGCCCACCCAGGCTAAGAGGTTTTCCCTACTATGGGGTTGTCACTGAAACAGAGAGAGCATCAGAGTGACTACATCGGTTAATTATCCATCAAAGCCATCATACTGTACTTAATCACAGCAATTAATAGATAAACTATAGAGTTAAGGGCATTTCTTTATGAGGGAGGCGTCTGATTATTTACCCCCGCAGGCAGAGTCACAAACAAGCACGTTTGGCTGGACAGAACGAGTTGTTCGGCAGCGGCCTAATAAAAGCCTTGCATACATAAAGGTGTTTTTTTTTTTGTGCGAAGGAAAACTGCACATTCCTCAAAGCACAAAATACCTATGTTGAAAAATGGATGTGGCGGAATCACTCTGTGAGGATGGTTTTCTTAGCAGAGAGAAAACCCCTGCCCCCCAAAAAACAGCTAGAGTTACTAATAGTTTAGACCAAGGCATATTCATGTGTTAGATTGGCCCAGTCAAAGGCCAGAACTAAATGGAAATGAGAATATGTGGGAAGACCTAAAAATGCATCTTTGCAGGTCGTCTCCATTCAAGCTGCCTGAGCTGGAGCCGTTTTGCACCCCAATAAACTTCCTGCTGCAACTTTTGAGAAAAGTTTTTCTGCAAACTGAAATCCTGGAGGGCAGAACACAAATGTGCACACTTTTACAGTCTTATTTTAAAAATTATTTTGATTTGATTCCCCTTTTTCTCCAAGTTCTACTTCGTCTTGGTTTATCACATGAAATCCCAATAGCAAACCTCAAACGGCTGCACCGTTACAACACGCTAAAGTGTTGAAGAAGCGTTGAATGCTTTCTATAAGACGCTGCAGAGGCATCATGCAGAGGAGGTTCGGCGCAGACTTACAGGCTTCCGTACTGCGCGGTGGTGTTATTCCTGCTGTTGTGCTGCCTCTGCAACTCCTCCATGACGTTTCGGAGCTGTTTGAGGGTCTGAAAAGTCTCTTTGGGTTCCTGAATGGTGAACTTGGAGTACTCCTCCTGCTCCCTCTGAGGGCCCTGGTACACCGCCATGCTGGCACACGCATCTGTGGGCAGGACACAGTCGTCAGCGCTGACCGGATTGTGAAATCTAACGCCCGCTTACTACGTGTCCAGCAAGATTAGACAGCGTCTCCGCTGCAAAGGAGCCAACGTGTTGAGTGAACGTGTAAAATACACACAAGTCCCTCTGCTTTACTTCAACCCGACAGCAAGTGAGCACATGCTGACCTTCCATGTTTTGTAGCTTGGATTCATTAGATGAGAGGAGGGAGAAGATTCTCTCCGCTTCCCGGTCACAGTCGATGTCCAGCTGCAGGTTGGCCAGCATGGTGCTGCAACAGTAGGGGGACAAATGTGTGAGGAGACAAAATGGAGACGAGGTCATCCAAGAACGAAGGTGAGAGACAACACCTTCCCGAACCGAGCTGGAACGTGAAAACGGCAACTCAATTAATGTTCGAAGCTTTATTGAAAGAAAAAAAGAAAACAGGTAGTGGAGGGGAAAGTAGATGCTGAAGACAGCAGGAATGTGCTTTTTTTTATGCATTGTTATAATTTTCTCCCAGCCACAGAAACATCCTGAACTCAAATTTGCCTCAATTCCTGCAAAGATTAAAGTACGAAACATTTTTACCAGGAGTTTTACGTCTACTTAATACAAGGGATCATAAAAAAGAGTACACACTCCTGGGTGGTTTCATCAATCATTTCCATGTTTCTTCTACTCATTACGTCACAGACACTTCTGTAGGGCAGCGTAGCCAACAGAAAAGACACAAGTACATATTCCTTACTGAACTAAGGAGTATGTTTGCAAACTTAAAACCTAAAAAATGCTGGAAGAAATCTGGGTCATGTTGGTGAAACCAAGCTTTGGGCAAAGATTGGCCTAGAACAAAACTGAGCCCCAGCAATTGTGACGCAATCTAACTTTTCACCTCATTTAATTTGCCTACTGTTGTTTTTATTTGCCATTTCAAACAAACAGCTGTGCTTTTTGTTTTCTCCAAAGCGTGCTTCTCTGCGTCTACATAGGTGGTCACATTTAACGTCGGCCCGGGTTCAGAACAGCAGTCGACTCGTTTTTTTTACTGGGTGTGAACTGTGATCTGCAGCGTTAGCTGGGCAGTTTCCATGTGACCTCATCCCACACTCACATTGTGCAGGGCTTACAGCCGGGAGCGCTGCCGCTCTGGTTTTTGCAGCACTGCCACGCGCCGGCGGTGTAATTTGACGAGTGGTAAGTGGTCAAGCGTCCCTCGTTGCAGCGGCTGACCTGGCCCAGGATCTCCAACCACTCGCTGGCCTCCACGCAGTTTCCTGCCTGGACGTAGAGCGGCATCTCTGAGAGGACCACCTGAAACATCTGGCAAGAGGAAACACAAGTCTTTAGGCATTAAGGACACAACAAGCACACGTTCAAATCCCTTAAGAACATTTAAACCTTTAACAGCTTGATTGTTCGCGCTTGTAGCTACGGACGTAAAATTTTATATGCGAGAGCCAATTTTGTGCTCCTCAGTATTTAGAGCTAACAGTTTGAGACTCTCCAAAGCGGCAGTTCTGAGTTCAGAGCTTTAACGGTGAACTATTCAAACCTCCTGAAGGGAAATGTCAGAAAAGATTCACGAGGCTGGGACGAGATCTCAACACCACTTCCATTTCAAAGCAGGAAGCTAATGAAAGGTGTTGAGAGACATCCCAGGCTGACCGACTTACATTTTTGCGGTTAAAGGCACTTTCATCGAGTTTCTCCACCGCCTGGATGTTTTTGACGCTGATGGTGCAGAGGGCCTCTTTCCCTGTCGGCGAGAAAACACTCCGTCATGTTCATTACCGATTATGATGGAGCCGTGATTAATATCAGCCGCGAGTTTACGGCTGAGAGCAACATGGAAAATTCAGACGTCGAATTGTAACATTTTGTCCACAAACTCACACCACTATTGTGATATAACCGAAAAGTTTCGTGGTAAAGATGAGAATTTGGGGATTTTATGTGACGGAACAACACAGATAAATCTCAATCTTCCCACAATACTTTGATACCCCAAAATATCCAAGTATTTGGGGCAAATTAATCTCAGTATAAATGCAGCTGTTCTGCGAAGGCCTCAGAGGTTTGTTAGAGAAGTTTAAAGAGTCAGGTTGGACTGAATAATATTCTAAGCTTTAGACATCTAGCAGCACAATTTAATCTACACTCTGAAAATGAAGAGCGCAGGCACGGCAGGAAGCCATTAAAGAACAACTTGTCACAAACTGACAGGTCAGGCAGTAAGACAGCATGAGGAGCCTCCAGGTCTGACACATTCACTTTTCACCGAGAAAACATGTTAAGGGATAAACTGATTTATTATGCAATTTCCAGCTGCACATACTCTTGCATGTGGACTGTGAGAATGAGCGGTCTCACCTTTACGTTTGTGGTAGGAGAGCTCCCTGTTGGTCACTCTCAGCCATCTTTTCTTAAAGTTTCTCTTAGAGAAGTTCTTCTTTCCTTGGGTACGTTTCTGCACTTCCCTTGGAAAGCAAAGAAGAAATGTGCAGAGTCAGTGAAAGTCCTTTCCGCCCAGCTGCAGGGCTTTAGATTGAAGAGTAATTGATGACAGTAATTTGCAAGAAACTATATTCGTCGATGGAAACAACTCACCCCTCCTTCAGAACCACGGCGTCCTCCTGTCTGCAGGACTCTTTACTCACGTTGGACGAGATTTCGTCGAGAAACTGGAAGCAGATAAAAACGCCAATAAGTAGATATAAACAAAACTACTGAAATATACTGGACTGTAGAGCAGGTTTGTACGAAATACCTTTTTAACTTTTTCAATGCACTTTTCTTCTTGGAATGACTTGTAGAAGTCGTACATGTAACTTTCTTTAAAACTGGACTGAAGGCAGAAAAAGTTTTCAACTGGTTATGGACGAACATTTGACACCGTCGGAGAACAATTGAATAAATCTTTACACTCTTCTCGTCTTTACCAGTTTTTTAGACAAACTACCCCAGCTGCCAAGAGTCTGAATAGTTTTTGAGATGAGAGTGAGTGTGCGGGCGATCTCAGGATCCTGCAAGTACAAAACGCATGACAACGAGGCCTGCTCACAGAGCAAATACGCACAGAGCGGATAATGAGGCAGAACGTGCTGGTAGCGGAGGCTTTTGCACTTACGGGGTGATGAGATCGGAGCTGGAACGAGTGTGGGGAGAGAACAGCCACGGCGAAAAAGCGCAGGAACACGAAGCTGCTCACAGCAGAGTACTGAACATGTGGGTCGCCTGCAAAAAGAAAAGAAAACTTGTCAATATCACCGAGTTCGGTCTATGAACAAAAGATTGTACAGGCATTACACAAAGAGTCGATGAGATCTTAATGATTTGGCTCCACCTACTGGCAAATAAAACCAATAACGTCAAATATTAGAAATCTGTTACAGAATAACGGCAAAAGTGGGTTTCGTGAGTAATTGTGCGCAGCAATATTTAAATAATGCCATCTTGCGTTTTGTTTTAAAGGGGAACTTTTAATTAGCTGCACCTCACAGAGATTTTTTTCCTCACCCAGGAAGCGTTTGCAGGCGAGATGTCTGAGCGACCTGAAGACGTCGCACATCAGAGGGGGACAGTTGGAGCTGGACTGAGTGATGGAGGAGAAAACTTTCTGGACATAAACCTGAAGGTTTTCCTGCAACAGTAATAAAAGTGATTTAAAGGAAGTTATTTTTGGAAAACGTACAGTCTCAATCTTGTGCATAAAAAAAATAGACAAAGCGAATGAGGATCGCCCACCTTGTTGACCTCCACGTTGTCACCTTCCTTTAGCTTAATGGGGTCTATCTCACATGTTTTGTTGGAGTCGCAAATCTGTGAAGAGGTAACAGGAAAAATTATCGACACTCGATCCAGTCACCGAACACAGAGGAGTCAGACAACATCTTTATAAAAGACCAAGAAAATATTTTGAAGTCAAAGGACAGAAACTGGAGCACTAACAAACCCTTTTCACACGTGGCACTAACATCGGTCATCCGATCATGTCTGACAGACAAAACGGTGCGGAGTCCCTCGAGACGCATTGAGGACATTTCCTTAGCTCACCTGCTTAGGTGTCCTGCTACACTTGTGTCTGCAGTAGTTTAGCAGTTTGAACTAAATTTGACACATTGGAGGATCCGCTGACATGATGTAGTTACTACCTGTTCTACTCCGACTAACAAAAAGTCTAGCAAATGATTTTAAGTTCTACATTTCAACTTGTTGGAAAAATTCTCAAGAAAAAAGTTGCCACAATAAGGTATTTTATTCATCAGTGGCTGTCAAAGTGTTATAATGAGCAGTTGTTCCCCATGGTGATGAAGAAAAGTGATAAGTGAGCAGGGCATGAAAGCCTGGTCTCTACATCTGATGTTAGCTTTATCTTAATGCATCAAACAAAACTAGATGAAATCATTCGACGGAAGCTACAAATTGTCCCGTTTTTTTACCAGGGTGGACATTTCCTTAGTTCGCCTGCTTAGGTGTCCTGCTACACTTGTGTCTGCAGTAGTTTAGCAGTTTGAACTAAATTTGAAACCTCAACGTGTGAAACGTCAACCCACTTATGACATTTGTGCAGAGGCAGGTTTGACACGGAAAGGCAGCTGTGGAAAGGCTTTCCTTTTCCCAAAACACGGTGGCTTTATAATCACTGAATGAGCGTCTGATTCTGTGCGTTTTGCGTCTTCTTCATACCTCATCGATAACCGGCTTCAATGTAACAGCCAGGTAACTCTTTCCCACGATCTTCATCATGTCGTCAATGCAGCGAGTTGCCAGTGAGTTGCCTCGGAATATAGTGTTAGCCTCCCTGTAAACAAAGACGACTAGATTAACAAGTGCTACAGTTTCTCTCTCTGAAAAAAATGTGCCAATGCGACATAACGACACCTTGCACATTACTATGCGACGCCCCGCAAATTAAATTTAATGAAATTAAAAGTGAGGCCGACACAGAAATTCCAGCTTTAATGTCAGTTTTATTTTTCCGTGGTACTTCCCCGTTTCATATTTGTCTGTGGTTACATTATCATCGCAAATAAAACNGAACCTAATTTCAACACTTCCATCCGTCTACAGTTCGCAGCGCTGCAGAACGACATCGCATGCGTCAGTGAGCACGCTGCCGGGGGGCCGAATACTCACTGAGTGTTGTCCAGCTCCAGAGCCGCCACGGCAGAGACGAAAGGCACAAAACGGCTGTGGTAGAGCAGCAGCCGGACCATGGGCAGAACGGCCTCGTATCGCTCTCTGAAGATGTCCCCCAAGATGTGTGCTGCTGATGCCGAGATGGGCTGAGGGAGAACAAAAAGCACATCAACAAAAAAACCGAGAAGGTAAAAAGAAAAAAAAAAAAAAAAAACTAAACTGAAAGTGGGCTTAAAGGGTGGCTGCGAGGGTCAAAAAGAGGGATGAAAGTGAAAGAGAAGGAAAACAATAAGTGACCAGCAATTGCAATTATTTTCCAGATACAGCATTGACCACGGGTTCAGGTTCAGCTGTGGCGTTACCTTCACATCGGGGGATTTGAGCAGCAAGTTGCAGAGAGGTGTGTAGCAGGTAGAGGGCAGCACCGTGTCTTCAATGTAAGTGAGCTTCAAACGCAGTTGTCCCAAATCATCAGATTTGGACTTGCTGCCTGTCCCTTTAGGCTGGAGGAGATACCTGAAAGAGCACAGCAAAAGAGAGAGAGGGGACAAATTACAGGCGTGTACAGGAAGAACAAATCTATTTTACTAAAGAACAACCCAGTACAATTCAGCTCAAGTCTCTTTATAGACGAGAGGAAAAGATTGGAGAGAGTATTTTCCAGATAGTGAAACCTCAACAAGGAATACAGCAACCCCAAAAGATGTCATTTCTAATGCAACATACATGAAGCTACGTAGAGAACAAAATGTTTCCTTTAACCTGAGGAAACTGTTCAGAGAAGAAGAAAATCTTAAATCCCCAAGCTTTTCATCTTTCAGATCTGCTTTAATCTCATGCCACACTACCCCGATTTAAAATGGTAAAAAAAAAACAAAAAAACTCACAAAAGCATAAGGTTTTAATTAAGATACAAATACTGAGGAATCAGAAATAGAGACTCAAGATCTCAAACGCAAAAGTCATCCTAATTAATTTAGGAGTCAACTTCCAACCTTTATCTTTCATCAGGTAATTCATAAACTACATTTTCTATTTCACACATGTGCATCACATAATCTCGTGCTTTATACGTTTGTACCACCCAAGTGTTTCAGGGCCAGACGACATCAGATATTGTTAAACGTTTTAGTGATCGTTCATAAACTCTGCAACTGTTTTTAATAAAACTGTTGAGGGGCTTTTGTAAGGAGAGCTTCTGCTTTAAATAGGTTGAGGAAAAAAAAAAAAACTGCCCAGATTGCTGCAGCACACTGATCCATCCAGTAATCACATGTTGAGGTAAAAACAACAACAACAACAACAACAAAAAGCAGCATTATTAGCTGGAGCTAATAAACTACGTGGATCACAGAACACAGAGATACTTCATTTGATGTCATTTAACAGAAAAAACAAAAATGTTAATTTTGCATGCAGCATGGACCGTGAGGTAACACAGGACATGAGGTAATGCCACCATGCAACGAGCCACCCACACACTACGCTTGCAGGCTTCATGTACCAACAGATTGCTATCTGGCATAATCCCATATCACCTACTCCGACGCAAAGCTGGGCCACATCCACACAAAGGGAAAAACTGCTGAACACAGAAATCTGGGGAGGTTCTTCTAGTCACCTTGTAGCGGCTGTGTGAAAACTTGGCAGAACATGCTGTCCTGATAGATGTGTAATACAGACCTTTAATAAAATACCAGTAAACCAGCAAAAAGGCTCAACTCAACTTTATAGACCTTAGGCAGTGAACTTGAAAGGGAGGGTCTGACTTCCAGCACTTTAATCAAATAGGACTTTATACGCTCGAGGGCAGTTTTAATGTGCAAAAAGAGCAAGTAGCCTGGTGTGCAGCATGCACTTTAATCTGGCTCAGCACCAATTCAACCAAACTGCTGTTTTACTAAAGAAGTAGATTCAAAGTGACTAATAACATTCCTATATGGTTCACAGTGCAGCTATTTCTTGACATCTTTTAGCTTTGGCGTCTTGCAGTACTTATGTGCAGTGGTAGTGCATGATTGGGAAAAAAAATATATTTTTCTTTTTAAAAATAAAAAATATGAACAGTGTGGCTCATAGAAAACCCCTTTACTGCAATATCCTAAAGCCAGTTTAGGATGCAATTTTCTGAAATTGCCTAAATAGTAACAGGAGGATTTTAAGCTTTGTTCATGCAGAGGAAATATAATAAATAAAAAACAAATCATCTGCCTTTCTAGCTCATACCCTAATCTGAGACACAGCCAAGAGCACCATAGTAACTGCAGAGGAGCTGCAGAGATCCACAGCTCAGGTGGGACGAGCTGCAGACATTACATATATACCGCAACATGAAGTACTAACGAGTAATCAGTCAGTAATATCTCATCTTAACGCGTTACTATTTCTGAACAAGCAATCAGATTACAGTTACACATCCAAGTCCTTTTATCATCTTCCTTCGTAACAAAACGTATTTGCCTTCTTTTCTGCGACGATGTGAGCGGTGTTACGGATGCGACAAATCACGTTTTCAACATGACAGTTCAAAATACGAAGCAGTCAGCAGCACAAATGTAAACAACAACAACCGGGGGAGGAGTTTTGCATGTTTTCAAGCTGAAAATATCAGTTAAAGACGAGACAATATTAGGGTTTGTTGTGAACTCCGTGCAGGTGACAAACTCATCCAGCTTCAAGAAGCTCCACCAGGTCTTGCGAAGCAGAGAGCTGGGACTATTTGCAGGAGGTTCCTCAACCATCCAAACAACCAAAGTTGGACTTCAGTGCAAAACCAGCGAGTAGGGGAGAGTTAAGGAAGTTGGTCAGGTGATTTGTTGCAGATGAAATGCATCCCCTGCGCATGGTTACTTGCCCTGGTTTTGTGCCGTAATAAGTTACAATCAATGCCAAGCTGCCTCACAGAGCATTTTTTCCCCTTCCTGAAAGGAGCAGTGCAGAGATGGAGAAAAACCTGAAGGCTGCACTGAATGAGCTCGACTCGCCAAACTCCACTGTTTCATTCATAATATGAGATTACATGTAAAAAAAATAAATAAAATTCTAATAGCTACATTTACAAACAATGATATAAATGGTAACGGTTTCCATTATAGTGTTAATAGTTAAACATGTCAGGTAAAAAGGTATTTTATTTATCATAAAAAAAAGCTTTGTTAAGTAAATTTTGTAATTTAATGTGTAAAAACAGGTATTCGTGAGTCAAGAAACAACATCTATTTATTTTATTTTTTTCAGAAAATAGTTTTTAAGCTCAACTTAAAAACCAGGAGATACAAATCAGGAGACACTCTGTTAAAAATGCACTTCCTGTAAAAGGAGCTTTGGCAAAACTGGTTATTTTTTTTTGTTGAGGCTGTCCGTGGGCATCATTGGCAGCTGCTGAATGTAACTAATAAAGTTACTTGTACTATAATTTTCTTTTAAAATGAAGTAACCAGCAAAATAAGTTACTTTTTAAAAGATTAATCAGTAATCGGATTACTTTTCCCAACTTTGTTATCGAGCATGTTGTAGGACCACAAAGCTGGAGGATTAGGAAGATGTCAGCATTTTTATTTTTTTTTTGCCCACGGCTGGTCCTTACCAGGCTTTGTGGACGCGGTCGCTCTGAAGGATCTTGACAGGAACTCTCGTTTCTCCGAGAAACACATCCTGAGCCAGATTTTCGTTGTTCCACAGATCCACTCTGCAAGGAAAGACGACGTAAACTGCGAACGTTAAACTGCTGTTCGTCAAGCCTGACACAACACACACACACACACACACACACACACACACACACGTGTGGTCAACGTCACACAAACATAAGACACCCGATGCGAGGACAGCAAGAGGGACTCCAAAGAACATGTCACTACTGAGTGGTGCTTACCTCCCGTGTGCGCAGGAACTAAAACAATGCCAGTGCAATAACGCCACCTCAAATTCAAACCTCAAAAACCATGCACGAGTGTTTACCTTTGAAACCTGTCTACTCTTACCAGTGAGCTACGACTCCATTGTGATGGAGGCCCCACCTTGCTTTAACCAGAAGACAAGGCTCTCTATCAGCAGTCAGAACACACCGCAGCTAAGTTAACAGTTTTGATCCAAAGGCCTAGAGAAGCAAGACTAAGGGGGAAACAGAGCAGATGCACATGAAATACAACTCACCTGATCTCGAGCTTTTCAATGTCCTCCTCCTCCACAGGGAACTGTGATTTTCTAGAGTAGCTGCTGGACCGTGTGACCTGAGGATGAACATGTAGAGGCTTTATGAGTGTGTTTATTCATAAATATAGTTATATACGTTATAAATCTATCACAAGAACGATTGAGTAAAAATCAATCATGTATAATTCACCTCAAAGAAAAAAGTTTCCTCAAAATATGGGTTGCTGGTTTTCTTCTTTACTTTTGTTTTCTTTTGGTCTGATCTAAAGGACATAAGATGGAAATAAATTAATTTCACACAAGTGCATGATTCCCCCCCCCAAAAAAAAATCAAGGTATCTACCAACCCCTGTAACTTTATGTGAACCGTTAAAACTGCTGGGGAAAATAAAAATCAGTTCTGCAGAGCTTATACAGCGTAATAGTAAAGTATTTGCCAAAACAATGAGGACAACCTGTATTTACAGCAGAGGCATAGGTCAAGCACAGCTAGCTAACTTTGTCAGGTGTTGTGGTATAATACAACACCGTCTTTAAAATTGATGCACATCTTGCGGAAGCGTTCTTTTGGGACAACAATATCCAATTTTTAAGAGTCCAAGCTAATTATTTAGCAAAAAGAACGATTGACAGCCAAAACACTGCAAAATATAAGGTTGTTTGTACACAGAATCAGCAAACTATGCAAAAAAACACAAAAAATAAAACATAAAATATGTTCAAAGCTAATAAATCATAGGCTTTACATTGTATTAGATAATATCCACCCCATCTTAAATAACAAAAAAAAAAAGATGCGTCTTTAAGAAATGTAAATCCTGTCTAAACGTGGCGGTAACAGCTTAGCTGCCTTATGTCTGTGTGTGGCATTAGCAGAGTTACCTGGCAGGTCCAACAAGAGACACGGTGGCGTACGGGTCACAGTTCTGGCCACTGATCAAAGGCAGTTCTTTGCACTCAATTATTCTGCAGCAGTTTGAAAACAAATGGAGAGACAAACATGTATTTAGTGAGCAAAACATCTTTAGGACAATGTCGAATCACACTTTGCTTCATGCACAATGTTTATGGAAACTAATGTTTCACAAGACCTTGATTTTTAACAACAGAAAAAGAACCGCACCGACATGCTATACAAGATAAATATTATAAACTTAAGCCTGAAATTGTTTATACACCCGGCAGATTTAGACCAGTTCAGCTACCGCTGAGCTGAATCTAATAAAAAAATAAAAATAGATGGCACTTCTCAATAGATAAAACTATGTGGAAAGGAGAAGGACTTAAAATTCCAAATGATAACTTTCTCAAAAAAATCTTTATTAGCGTCATCGCAATCACAACATGATTCATGTCATTTACAATGTATTAAAAATATATATATCCTAATGAGCTCCTAGTCTTTGAAGGCCTCTGTGCCATCTCCCTAATCTTTAGCTTGGTCAACAGATTCAAGTCAGGATTCTGGCTAAGATATTAATATTACCTCCAGCCAAAAGAAACATGTTGGTAAAAACACAAGGGTTACTTTTAGCCTAAATCTGCAAGGAGAATGGAAATTATTTAGGTTAACCATACATTTAAATGTTTGGTTTTCACACATCGACAATTACTGCAGGTCTGAACAAAAATACAGTGAGCACTAAGTTGCTCCTTATTTGTGCACCCAATCTTGGCCAATAAAGTTGGTTCTGAATATTAAATTACTTTTTACTTTGACAGAAACTGGGCTTAACTTAAGAGTAAAACCCTAAATCTCTAAATAAATGTGTATAGTGAATTAATGAATGACAAAAAAAGAAAAAAGAAAAAAGGTAACCACATTACGTCAAACTATTCGTCATTCACACCTAAAGCTGACGCATTTTGGACGCCTCATCAGGGTACAGTATTGATACACGTGGTACAAAACAGATCTGAACATCAGTAAACATAAAGATGCCCGTTTTTTTGTTGTTGTTTTTTTTTGCAGCCTTCAAATGACAAGGAGTGCTTTGCCCTCATGTTCGGCTGCAGTCACACAGGGACCATTGCTTTTTTTTTTTTTCACAAGTGTTTCAGGTGACAACAAACAGACTCTGTCGGCACCCTAAACAGGATGTGGCTGCTAAGCAGGGGCCACCAGAGAGTAAGAATGAATTCAGCCCATCCCTAAGTGAGGCCAGAGGGACGGGTAAAGCGGCTGAATGTCAGGATGTTTGTCTGTGATCTTCCTGGGTGTCCTGACGATATTCCCTTCAGCTGCCCCCCCCCCTCCCCCTCCCCTATTGCGTGTCGAAACCGATCACCTCGCGGCGGAACAGGAAGGCTGGAGGTGTGCACCTGAACTGCTCAGATCTCTACATCGGCGTCTTGTCTGATTAAGCGGATGTAGGACACCGGGAGCGCGCTTTGCTCAGAGCGTATGCGTCAATGGTGAGAGCCGACAGTGAGCCGTGTGACAGTTTAAGCAAACAATCTGAGTGACACGGTGAATGACGGCTGACAGAGAGAGAGAAAAAAAAAAAAGCCACAGTGGTTGCAGTGTGAAAAAGCGCAGACTTCCTGTTCAGATGCCATCACTTCCTCCCCATTACAGAGCTCTTAAGTATGAATGGGGGAGTGGGAGTGCAACATACGTAAACAGCAAACATCCGTGACATCTGCACATCTATACGAGTTCTTGACGTGCTTGACCTAACCCACCAGTGAGGCGTTTTCTTTCCTCTTTTTGCTATCCGCCCATCATGTTACGCGTCTAGAAATAAGCCGATCTCTGCGACGACAAACCGATGCAAAATGGAAAGGTCTGAAGTAGCGCTAGCCCGTTCATGCCAACACACATCAAATATGAGACAAGACACCAAGAACCAAAGCATGGTAAATGATATACTCTTATCAGGTCAACTTCTTTTTTTAACAAGCGTTTTCCTCACAAGCCTCTGACCTATAAAAACAGACAACTGCAATTTGCATGTGGCACAGACAGTGCGCATGTTATAGTTTTCTTGACTGAAATAATTTGACTACATGCAGCCACAGCAGTGCACAAGAGAAAAAGGTCTTTGTATTTTTAGTTTGCACCTTCTAGTAAGTTTTATCTTTGCTAAAAGATCTTTAAAAACTTGAAACATCTCCATGTTACGAGCATGAACTTCACTGTATTCTTTTGGGGATTTTATGTGAATGAAAGTGAGAAAATTAAATAGTCAAATTCTTTGTCCAGAATATGAAAAATGTGTCGCGCATTTGTACTCCTCCTCTTAACCACTCTAAAAAAGATCTTGCGCAACCAACTTTCATCAAACGTCACGCAACTAGTGAATGGTGTTCTTGTGATTTCTATCTGAGTATAAATCCATCTGATCTGTGAAGGCCTGAGATGTGCATTTTAGATGAGAACATTGCTGAACAAACGGCGTCATGAAACCTAAGAAACAGCAGAACGGCTCGGTAAGAACGCTTAAGAGAAGCTCAAATCAGGCTCAGGTCAGACAAACTGCAGTGCAGTTCACAAATTTAGCCTTTATAGAAGAAAGCACTGAAAGGAAGAACTTCAGTGTGCAGATTGCCACCGGTGGAGGGATACTGCAAAACAAAAAAGGGGCATTTGGAAGAAGGTAGACTGATAAATTGGACGAAAAACCTAACCTGATGGTCTAGATACCAAATACTATGCGTGATGGAAAACAACAAACTATCCACAACAACAATACATGGTGGTGGCAGCTTCATTCTGTGGGAATGCTTTCTTCAAACATTAAATCTACCTAAGTGGACAAGAAAACGGCTCATATGACAGCATATTTGTATGGTCTAGTCAAAGTCAAGAGTTAAATAAAAGACTAAGTCAAGACTTACACTATTTTGCAAAGAAGAATTTCAGCCTCAAGATGTGCAAATCTTAAGACATACCGCCAGTGATTATACGGTCACAAATGGTTCCACCAAGTATTGACTCAGAAGGCTTGAATACAAATGCAGCTTGAAATAAATGCTTAAATAAAAAAAATAAAATAAAAAATAGGTGAAATGTGTGCATAATTTTCTTTACAGCTTACAGTAGTATATAAAATCCCAAAATAAGCCACTGAAGCTTGTAGAGTGGCAATATATATATAAAAAAAGGTCATGGGGTGTAAATACTTTCTATGATACAAATTATTTACATTTCAGCATCATTTCGTTACATTTTGCAAAAAACGGACGCACAGGTCTGAGTCTGAGAAACTTCATGCAATACAAATAACTTTTATGATCTTTTCCTACTATGGTGGTGCTGATCACTTTAAATGAAAGTTTTTGAAAACTACTTGGAGCACGCCGAAGCAGCGCGAGGTTCAAGGTTTCTTTCAACACTGAATTTTAAACTAGAGCGCAGATAACCTACTTAGGTTCCAAGACCTTGATTAATAAAAACCACCCGAGAAATCGGATTTCCTGTGGTTTCCAAAATTTTGCACTTTTTTTTTTTATATACATCATCAGTCTTTATTTGAAACCTTTAAACATACATTCCATATTTTGCTTTAGACTAAAAATCAGTTCTTGTAAAACTTACTAATGCAAAGCGAGCAGACGAATTTGCTGCTGTGCTGCAATTCTCAGCTAATGGCACAAATTCATTCAGTGCTAAAGGAGATTTTAAAATCCAACCTTGGCTTGAATAACTTGCAAAATTTAACAGCTCATGAGACAAACATTTTTTTGTTGTTTCCCCCCTTTAATCTGAATACCATTAGTAGCATCGAGGAAAAGTTGGGACTCACTTGACAAGTAAGTGTTGACCAGTGGAGCCGTGATCTGTGATCACTTCATTCAGTCGCATCTCCAGGTGAACTTTGCCCTGTCGAAGAAATGCGAGTTATATTCAAACTTAATACTTATGCATAAAATCTTAGGTTGACATGGAAACACGATAAAAACAAGGTCACAGCAAGACACAGACACATATGCCGTGCATTTTGTTTGCACTGAATTACACGCATCCAACACTTGCATTATGTTAAACTGCTCTGCGTTGCCCTGTGGCAAAGTGTTTTTTTGGGGGGGTTTTTTACGTTTGAGAAATCGGGGTAAAATGTGCGACAAAAACCATAATAGATGTGCCATCACTCAAAAAGATCTTTACAGGGTCGGATGTGGTGAAGGCTGCAGGTCTCGCCTTCGGAAGTGTCAGAGAGATAGAAAGAGCTAAACAAGACGCCCACACACTTGGACTCTTGTCTCTGCAATTCAGCACTTGGCTGACAAGGCAAGCACTTCTTTCAGATGCAAGATAGGCCTTTAAGCCAAGATAACTGCTCTACAAAAAAAAAGATCAAATAAGCTGAAAGCGTCGCTAAATTATTTCATTTCAAGTACTGAATACGATTATGAAATTTATATTGTTTGAAAAGATTACAGTTTTCCCCTTTTTTTCTCTCTTCTGACCAGCCGGTCTACAGGCTACAGGCAAAGCCTGTTCTGGTTTGGCTAGAAACCAAAACCAGAACAGCATTGCATCAACACCTCCATTTCTCACTGATGTAACTTTGCTGTGGAAAGTGTCTACTTGTGAGTGAATCAGTATTGCAGTACATCCCCAGAATAGACCGGCGTGGGCTAATGGCAGCTAGAGTCAACACAGTAGCTACAGTAAAAACAGCAGAGGATTAGTACTATGGGCATACTTTTACTTCCAACACCACACCGCAAAACTACGGGTTTGGTTAGCATACATTTTCACATAGCAAAGTTACCGGATGCTCAGGTGCTACAGACGTTACCAGAAGTACTGGTTGCCGGGTACTTTTTTTTTTTTTTAACCCAAATAAGAGCTTCAAAGAGGCCAGTGTAAATGCAAAATCCGCACGATCTGTTGGTGTGCGAGCAAATTTTTCCGCATTAGAGATACATGAATATTTCTTAAGATGACACGAAACCTGTTAAAAACTGTAGCGGCTGTATAATCTGTGCAGAAATGGTTCTTTGCACTGGGATTTCAGAGCATTATTTCAACCAAGAAACCAACCTTATATCCCACAAACTGGAGAAAAAGACTACACAGATCAAGAAATGAATTGGGATAACTAGAGAAGAGTTTTGCACACTGATGATAAGTTTATAACTTACTGAAATAATTGCAACAAAATATTGATAAATTACAACATTATAACATTTCTTGTCAAAAGCGGCATCCAGCTGCTCTGAACTTTATTTTATTTGAAAGAGTCCTGCAAAGAACCCTGGGTATTAAGGGGGCTGCTTTAAGACCAAATCCCTGTCCTGCATCCATGTCTAAGGCTCTTTTTTTGAAAGGAAGTATTTATTGAGCTCTGCTGTTGTGTTAGCATATTATGTTCGTCTTGCAAGATTCTGGGGACTTGGCAAAAATAAAAATGTTGACAGAGGAAGACAAGATATTAATGATTCACAAACATTGTGAAAGAATCCTGACTGCCTTACCATTGGCTAATAATGACACTTGGTGTAAAACCAAGAGGCTGTCTCACATTGTTTTTTAATGACTCTGGACTGGATTCGTCATCTCTAGCTCAAAACCTAAAAGACTTATCCCTGTCAGGTTTGAGCAATATACTGTGATGTGATTCGGAAAATATTTATTCTATTAGGAAAAATACACAAATTTTGGGACTCTTAATTTCCTCCCAAATGCATCCAAACTTTAATTTCTTCGACGTGAAAACAGCAATTCCCCATCAGCCTGTCTCATGAGCCAGAGGTGTAGTTACAGTCCTACTTATCTGCTTAAACCAAAGCTGCGCTGTAAAACCAGAACTGGGGATGCACCAATATGTAAATTTGGGCCAATATCAGCGTTTGATATTAACATTGCTGCCAATAACTAGCATGCGCTTCCATACCTTTTCAATGTTTCAAAAACAAAAACAGAATATCCTTGAGTATTCTCTTAATTTGGTCTCAAATAAGACTTTTCTAGACATAAGGCAGGTAAGATAAATTGACTGCCTCCGTTTGATGAGTATTTTGTCACAGCTTCCTCTGCTGATGATTTTCTTGATGTCATTGCAATGGAGTCGTGATATCAGAAAACAAACCAGTTTAAGAAAAAAAAAAGTTTTTTATATAGCTACAGTTTTCTCACATTATGCCATATTGCCAAAAACCATCAGCAAAACAAACGTAACAGGATTGTATTAAACGTAAGGGAGAAAATGAAACTACTCATCTACCAGTTAAAGCTTCTTGAGTGGGCGGTGTGATGAACCTTTATTTTTTTTCATGAGCCTCGATAAAACAAAACAGTCTCGTTCTCCTTCACTGCTTTGGTCAGCTTCATCTGTCAGAGGCTTCATCAAACATGTCCCCCTCACGTTTATGCCACCTCGAGCTAATTATTGCTGCAAAAATCAAAAGGTTTGGAATCTGCAGAAATTTCATTCATTGTAATAAACATTAAAGAAAAACAGTTCATGACTAGCATTGCCTCATTGATTCAGTGCATTTGCATAAACTTCACTGTTTGTGGCTACAGGTGATGAACAGATAGCAGGGCTGCAGACCAGCTTCTTGAACTCTGTCAGGTGGCGCCAAATGTTTTGCAGCTTCTTTTTTTTTTTTTACTGTCGCAGTGTTTCAGCTTTAAATGTCACATCGTTGTTACTTCCTGCAGATGCTCACAGTAATGTAAATAGGGATGTTAGGATATGAACATTTTGCCTTGTTATTGTTGTGTACAAATTTATTATTGTTTTCAAAAGTACCAACTTTGAATTTGAACTTGTTTGTTGCTGCACATATGTGCAGTGAAATAAAGAACCCTTTTGTAAGAAAGGATTAAACATTTTCAACAGGTATTGTTTCTGACATTGCATAAATGATGATTTCTTTTTTATTCACTGATAATTTTATTTACTTTACTTTGTTCACAGTCACATTAAAACGGAACAACAACTGTATATCTGATTTGCATCTAAAACACATGTGCCTAGAAGATTAGATGTTCCAAGGACATCTTTACAGAAAAGATTTTTTTTAAAAAGGAAAAAAGAAAAACCAAATAACTTGAGGATTTATTAAATCTATTTGATAGAAACATTCTTTATCTTGTCAAACAACCCCAACAAAAGAGCCACCAGTTCAAAAAGTGTTTTCACTACTAAAAAGAATTTCAATAGTTGCTACATGTCCAATGAACAAATATTTACCAACAGTCCTTCATTCATTCATCCAGCAGGCCCAAATTTCTAGCTTTTTTCCCCCCACATTTTCAAACAACTATCATTAACACATGACATTACTTTAGTTTGTGAAATGAAGAAATGCATCAAGTGTCAATGGCAATCTACAACACAAACAAAAATGCACCCACTGAGACTAATCTAAGGCTGTTGGTGTGAAGGTTGAGGTGTTTTAGTACATCTACTTTGTTTATTCTGTAAGTAAAATACTAAAGTAACAATCCTTGTTATTAATATTTTTGTTGTTCTGCCAAGTAAAATCAGGTCTTTGACTACAATGCTGCCAATCCAATTAATCTTTGAAGCTAAACAGACAACCCAGAACATCCTGAAGATATCATACAAAAAAAAAAAAAACAGCCATGCAAGACTTTACACAGCTAAATGATATCTTACTTAGCATAACCTGCAACTAGAGGAGACCGAAAAAGACAGGAAATGACGGCAGAACAGTGTAATTAAGACCAAAAAGTCTTACTTGACAGAATTTAAACTTTTTACCCACTACAGTCCTGAGTAAAGCTGCAAACCAAAAAGGTATCAGAGGGTCCATTTTGATTCTGCACGTCTGCAAGATGCTCAGATTATCCTTGCAATTAAAATTTAATAACAGATCGGAGCAAACAAAAATAATAAGGGGGAAATAAACATCCAACAAATTTTAAGACTGGATTTTTCCAGAAAGCACAAACATTATGGGCCTTTTTAGCAGTATTGCATTGCTGCTGTATTACCTTTTAGTATATTTTTAAAAGGTGTATATTGTCAGCTCAAAATTCACTTCATTGTAAAAATAGAAAACTGCTAAAAAAACAAACAAAAAAAACAATCTCAACATGATTTGTTAAAGCTAAACTTTGGTGAGTAGCATACATCAGAATAGCTACAAATAAAAATAAAAATACCTGAACTTCTGTGTTTGGATCTACAGGCTGGAGGTTAAACCAATCGTCCTTTCCGCTATATTTACATAGATCATCCTTCCGGATTGACACTTTGCCTGGAAAATAAAACGGCACAATGTGAAACCACAACAGATCTACTGGAGACAGCCCAGTTACGTCTCTGGTTCATGGATTCGACTTACCAACAGGTAGGTCCCTTTGGAAAACGCCCTTGGCATAAACATAAAAGGATAAAAACTGAAATGGCCGCGGGATCTCAAAGAAGAAATCTTCTCCGTAAAAAGGGCTGTAAAAAAGGGGGAGAAAGAATCATTATGTATTCGTAGTTAAATTAAAAAGAAAAAAAAAAAAGAACTTGTTGACAGAACAAACAGCATGATGACCTCATTATAACCTTAAAAGTTTAGGCCTCTATTACAGACATGCTATGACTACTTTCTAAACAGACATTTTTCCGTGCAGTACGGGTCTGAGCACTCGATGCTAAAAGAGGACAAAACACACTGACCCGTCAGTAAATGAAACCAAGTATGCCAAAACCACTGAGGAAGAGTTTTAGTAGATTATGCATGTCAGTGATTTAATGTAATCCTACACTGAAAATGCATTGTGCAACAGATCTGTTATGTTTCAGCAATTACACAATGACTGGTATCACATAGGGGAAAAATAAATGTAACAAATAATTACCCAGTGATGCCATTTGTGAGATTACATTTTCTGTCACAATTCAATGTCACAGGAATGTTGCATCACAGTCATGAACATGGCGTTTCTTAATGTGGAAAACTGAAAAGTGTGAGCAGACGGCGGACATCACAGGGTGCCCTTATGACTCATCAGGGATGTAGGAAATGCTCTTCGTATCATGGGTTTGAACGTGACTGGGAAACCTTTTAACACCTTTCCTCCACCTTGAGGTTAATGGTGCAGAAATAGTTTGCATTAAAAATATAATTCCTAATAATAAGCTGTGAAAAAGTGCTCCACTTAAACATAGAACAACTAAAAAGATTAAAACAAGCTTAGGAAGAAAATTATAGAAAAATACAAAGACAAAGCCATTGCAAAATTATGTATTTCTTCATGTGGAAAACAGAAAGTTTACCCACTTGATTTCAGTACTTGAGCATTGTTCAGAATATTTACAGAATTAGTTTGTAGACATTCGCCAGATTAAGATCAAAGCATTAAAATATCTTTAAAAAGTCGTGAGAGATGTTCTCTTTGTTAAGTGTGTGCTGGGTTAGTTTTTTTTTTTTTTCTTTAAAGCTAATCAATTTATTTATGTATTAGTTATGACTTATCCAATTGCAAACCTGTTTAAAACACAGAACATAAAATAATAAAAAACAGACTTTCCAAAAAAAAAAAAAAAAGTTTTAAATGTTTTTGTATCAACTTCTTGCACTTATTAAAACTTCTGTCTTTGTCCATCTTTGCCTTCTTACCATTTTAGACGACAGTTTATTTTAGTTTTTACTGCATGGCTGGTTATGTGTGTTTTTAAAGTATTTTGGTATCTCAGTTATTTTACTGGTGTTTTGGTGTAAAACCTAAAACAAACTAAAACTAACATTTAAAATTCATAATTTCACAGACATAAATGACAGACGGCATAATTTTAATGTTTATGCCTTCTGTACAGCACTTTGATCCTGCGTGTGTTAATATAGAGTATTTTATGCTAAAGATGCTCATTGCGCCGTTATAGTTGCTCTTTTATCAAATGAAGTAAAGAAAATTTTACCTCATTGGACGTTAAAATTATGAACTAACAAATTTTATCTAATACAAAGAAAAATGCTGGAAAAAAAAAAAAAAAAAAAACACAAAATCCAATTAATTTTTTTTTTCTTGTAGCAGGCGGGTAAAGATAATCTTTGCTTCGTTCAGAACTGACTGGCAAAAGATGTCCAAAAAAAAAAGATAAAATGACTGCAATTAAACAGTTTTGTCAAAAAAATGAAATTAAATGTCTATAGGTTTAGGTATTTATGGATACCTAAACGTACTTCAAATTTCCTTCTTATAAGAGAAATGTACTCAGGTTAAAAAAAAAAAAAAAAAAGGATGGGTAAAGGAGAATATAGCTCCTAGGTGCTCCTTCTGATTTTCCTTCACAATTTAAACATGTTGCACAGAGAGAAATATCTTGCCTGACACTTCCACAGCGGGCTTGGCCGGCGCATCCAGCGCACACCCACGCATCCTCCTCAAATATCACACAGAAATATGCACCTGTGACCCACCCCCTTCCCGCTCTGCACACACACTCAAAAATACACCCACTAAACTACATTTTCCTCTGTTGTCATGCCGGTCTCTAAACAATGTAAAATCTCTACCTACAGGCCTCCGTTGGTGGCTGTTTAAACATGCCTGCTTTATCCTCGGGATTAGCTCATTTTCAAGCTTCCAGATAACCTTTGGATCAGACACAAGGAGCACATAAAACCGAAATGGAGTCGAGCAAAATTCAAGAAGATAAGGCCAAAACGTGGTTGATTATCTAATTCTGCTGAACAGCAGCTAGGGTAGAAGAGTGTGTCACAGAGAGAAG